TCTCTTTTCACCTCTCTCTCTCTCTCTCACTCTCCCCCTCTCTCTTTCTCTCCCTCACTCACTCTGTTTCTCTCTTTTCACCTCTCTCTCTCTCTCTCACTCTCCCCCTCTCTCTTTCTCTCCCTCACTCACTCTGTTTCTCTCTTTTCACCTCTCTCTCTCTCTCACACTCTCCCCCTCTCTCTTTCTCTCCCTCACTCACTCTGTTTCTCTCTTTTCACCTCTCTCTCTCTCTCACACTCTCCCCCTCTCTCTTTCTCTCCCTCACTCACTCTGTTTCTCTCTTTTCACCTCTCTCTCTCTCTCACTCACTCACTCACTCTTCCTCTCTTTCCTCAGCTATCTGAGTAACAACCTCATTCACACTGTGGACTCGACAGGCTTGAGTGCACTTCTTCGTCTGGAAGAGCTGTGAGCATCCGGTGACAATCTAGCGGCGGAACTCGGAACCGGAATTGAGGCGAATGCAACGCCGTCTATCGCGTACACGCGCACACGCGACTGTGGCCATACATGACGCCAATTCTTCGTTTTTGTATTTTTTCATCGCGTCGGCTAGTGTTTCCAGCAAAAGTTCGCCTTATACAGTTGCGCCTTTAACCGCTAATCGCTTCATGCATCTAATTTCTGTTAAAAATGGCGTCAATAATAGTTATTGAATTTACGTATGGCCATGCAATGACGTTGTTCGGTCGAGGTTGACGCATGCGCTGTCGTGCGCGCGCGACAACGACCGTTCTACGACAACTGCTTCTTCTTCTTCTTCTTCTTCTTCTTCTTCTTCTTCACTACTGCCGAATGTGTCGCCTGGGTGCTGGCAGAATTATATCGTAGAGCTATAAGGGAATAGAGTTAGCGCCACGATAAATCAACTGCGGGATTAGTGTACATCACTACACAGTACGTTAATTGCCCGTGCTGGTCATACGCGAAGCGTATCTTCACACCTAATTAATCACGACTTAATGAAGAGCTTTCTAATTAGACGGGAGATGATTGCGTCCTAGTGACTATCATGGAAAATTACGAATGATAGCCAGAGTAGAGTATGATATACAATATACGATACATAATATACCATATACGATATAGGATGTATGATAATACAATATACGATGCACGATAGATATATATCCACATATATTGTCTATATATCTCCACATATATTGTCTATATATCTCCACATATATTGTCTATATATCTCCACATATATTGTCTATATATCTCCACAGGTCGCTGGACGGTAACCGACTAACGACGTTGCCATCCGAGCTGCTCGGTGCCTTCATGAATACAAAGTTCGTGTAAGTGTGCCACCGCTGCTGGTGTCGGAGGGGAGGAGGGAAGGAGGGGATTAGGGGAGGAGGGGAAGAGGGGGATGGGAGGAGGGGAGGAGGGGAAGAGGGGAAGAAGAGAGGAAGGGAGAAGGGGGAGGGGAGGGGAGGATGAGGGGGAGGGGGATGTGAGGAGGG